TCAGGAGATTTTTTAAAAATTGATTTATTCTTTTTGCCATTCTGAGTAGCTGGGGTTCAGGTAGCCTGGTTTAAAAATCTGAATATTTCTTAGAGTTGGAACATCTAGAAGTCACCAGTCTGTTTCTTTCCACAAAAGGAGGGCTTCTGGTTGCTAAACCTGATTCCATATCCTCAGTGGAAGAAGCAAGAGATCCACCTGTCCAGGACCGAGAAGAAAGAAAGAGAGCAGCAGGTATCTGTTTACTTGTGTGGAGGGAACCTTTCTCTGGTGCATGTGGGTAGGATGTCTCTTGGGGTATTCACCAGCTGGAGAATGGGGATTTATTAACAAGTAACAGCTTGGATGGAGCTGCGGTGGCTCAAGTGGTTAAGACGCTGAACTGCAGGCTGTGGAAGGTCGGTAGTCCAGCAGTTCAAGACCCGAGTGTGCCGCATGACAGAGTGAGCTCCCATCTCTAGTTCTAGCTCCTGCCAACCTAGCAGTTTGAAAGCAAGAAATTGCAAGTAGATAAATAGGGACCACTTCGGTGGGAAGGTAACAGCGTTCCGTGCACCTTGGTGTTTAGTCATGCCGGCCACATGACCACGGAAACGTCTTTGGACAGCGCTGGCTCTTCGGCTTTGAAACGGAGATGAGCACCGCAACCCTAGAGTCGGACTTGACTGGCTTTCAAGCAAGGGAACCTTTACCTTTACCTAACAGCTTGGATATGTCCAGGAAATCTTACTGAAGTGCAAAAGCGAAATTAAAATGATGGCTTGTTTGTGATGGGGAATGTTTGTACAATGCTCGACCTTAATAAACATCGATTTATTTATATGCTGCGTCTTCACATGCCTGCTCATATTGGTTCAAAAATAAAACAATACCATAAAAGCCTAAATACTGCCTACATGATCAATTTTAAAAGCTAGGGGCACAAGAAGATGGGAAAATAGCTACTGAGTTGGCTGAGATACCGGTATCTCCTGAAAACATTCCTCAGATTAGAAATGAAACAATAATAGCTAATAACCCTCTAAGATAAAGCTCTGTTGGAAAGAAATGTTTTGGCCTGACTGAAGGTAAACTCCTGACTGACGGTAAACTCCAGGTGAGCTTCAAATGTGGGAAATTCCCCAGATGAAGGGCCACCACAGAAATGCAGAGTCTCTATTCACCATCTGCCTTACCTGTGTAGTCCAGGTCACAGAGCACAGGGCTTGAAAGGCTGAACATACTGGGGTGTGTGTGAAAAGAACAATGAGCTTTATAAATTTGGGGCTCAGATTGGTTCTCTGTTGATCAGGTGTAAAGCTCTGCTCCTAACTCACTATCTAGTGAATGCAGTTCAGTTCTGCCCTTGACTACAGGAAGCCGTTTGGGAGACACCTTGTAGTTTAGCTTCCTGTTTCCCACAGTGGCCACTTAGAGTCCCTGGAAGTTTTACAAGAAGAGGAGCAGATTCAAAGCATCCCTTTTCAGAGAAATACTGCCTCTGAACAAGGAGGTTTCACTGGTCCTCCACCTTGTCTCCAATGGAATTACCCTCCAAGGAATAATCAAGAACTGACTACTACAGGGCACGATTTGTTTCCCCATCGATTTCTGTTCTGTCATTATCAAGAGCAGTCAATGGCCTTTTTGACTTGATTGTGATTTTGCCTAAAGGTCTTACAGTTCTTTTCTCTTTATTCCAGACACTGAAGGACCCAGAACAAGTCCAAGGAAAAACCACAACTCCACATACTTGAGAAAAACAACAGGAAAGCATCAGTGGAACAAAATGGGAAAAGGAGAATGAATAGTTTCCTCAGAGTGCAGAATCCCAGGTGTTTGATAGACACTGAACAGTTAACACAGGGGAGAAATCTCATAAATGGTTCGAGTGTGGAAAGAGTTCTGCTCAAAATGGCATCCTTGCTGTTCATCAGCAAATCAACGCAGAGGAGAAATCATATAAATGCTTAGATGCTGGAAAGGGCTTTTCTTGGAGTGATGCTCATCAACACATCCACATTGGGGAGAAATCATATAAGTGCTTGGATTGCAGAATGAGCTTTGTTCAGAGTTCAGACATTCATACCCATCAAAGTGTCCACACAGGGGAGAACCCATATGAAAGCTTTGAGAGTGGAAAGAGCTTTGCTCGGAGTCCAGAGCTTACAGACCATCAACATATCCACATTTGGGAGAAACCATATAAATGTTTGGAGTGTGGAAAGAGCTTTGCTCGGAGTTCAGACCTTACTACCCATCAACGTATCCACACTGGGGAGAAACCATATGAATGCTTGGAGTGTGGAAAGAGCTTTGCTCATAGTTCACAACTTAAATCGCATCAACGTATCCACACTGGGGAGAAACCATACAAATGCTTGGAGTGTGGAAAAAGCTTTACTCAGAGTTCACACCTTAAATCCCATCAACGTATCCACACTGGGGAGAAACCATATAAATGTTTGGAGTGTGGAAAGTGCTATGCTCAGAGTTCAGAGCTTAAATCCCATCAACGAATCCACACTGGGGAGAAACCATATAAATGCTTGAATTGTGAAAAGAGCTTTGTTCAAAGTTCACACCTTACTAAACATCAACGAATACACACAGGGGAGAAACCATATAAGTGCCTGGACTGTAAAAAGAGCTTTGCCTGGAGTTCACAGCTTACTAAACATCAATGTAGTCACACAGGGGAGAAACCATACAAATGTTTGGATTGTGCAAAGAGCTTTGCTCAGAGTGACAGCTTTAGTGCCCATCGACGAATTCACACAGGGGAGAAACCATATAAATGCTTGGATTGTGAAAAGAGCTTTGCTCAGAGCTCAGAACTCACTACCCATCAGTGTATCCACACTAGTGAGAAACCATATAAATGCTTGGATTGTGCAAAGAGCTTTGCTTGTAGTTCACAGCTTACTAAACATCAACGTATCCACACTGGGGAGAAACCATATAAATGCCCAGAGTGTGGAAAGAACTTTGCTCAGAGTGCACACGTTACAGTCCATCGGCGAATCCATACAGGGGAGAAACCATATAAATGTTTGGAGTGTGAAAAATGCTTTGCTTGGAGTTCACAGCTTACTAAACATCAACGTATCCACACTGGGGAGAAACCATATGAATGCTTGGAGTGTGGAAAGACCTTTGCTCACAGTTCACAACTTAAATCCCATCAACGTATCCACACAGGGGAGAAACCATATGAATGCTTGGAGTGTGGAAAGAGCTTTGCTCAGAGTTCACATCTTAAATCCCATCAATGTATCCACACTGGGGATAAACCATATAAATGTTTGGTTTGTGCGAAGAGCTATGCTCGGAGTTCAAAGCTTATATCCCATCAACGTGTCCACACTGGGGAGAAACCATAAATGCTTGAATTGTGAAAAGACTTTGCTCAGTGCTCAGAACTTACTACCTATCAATGTATCAGCACTAGGAAGAAATGGTACAAATGCTTAGATTGTGAAAAGAGCTTTGCTTGTAGTTCACAGTTTACTAAGCATCAACATATCCACACAGGGCAGAATCCATCTAAATGCTTGGAGTATGGAAAATGTTTTACTTGGAGTTCACACCTCATTATCTATTGACAAATGCACACAATGGACAAACCATATAAATGCTTGGATTGTGAAGAGAACTTTTCTCAGAATTCAGAACATACTGCCATCAATGAATCCACAGTTGGGAGAAATTATATAAATGCCTGGAATGTGGAAAGATCTTTGTTCATTATTCACAGCATATTACCCATCAGTCAACCCCTTCCGGGGTGGGGGAACCACATAAACCCTTGAAATGTAGAAAGATCTTCACTCAAAAAGCAAACCTTAAGGTACACCTAAGAAGTCCCACAGGGGAAAAGACATATAAATGCTAGGCCATTTTTCACATCAAAGCATTCACACAATAGAGAAACTATGCAAATATTTCCTGTGTTGCAAGGTCTTCAGCCTCAACACCTATCTTACCAGGCGTCATCATATGGAGATTTTGTGTTATATCAGGCCCGCCTTATGCAGTTGTTGAACGGGTATTGATTAAAGCAGGGGTGACAGATATAAGGCCCGGGGGCAAAACTAGCCTGTCCAGGGCTCTTACCTGGCTCGCAAGCAATTGATATGTATGGAAATATAAGGTACTCCCCCCCCCTTTTTATGGTATCTCTTGGGAAACAACTTAGTCTTGCATATGATTAAATATGTTTATTGGGGTTTTTGTGAGCTTCCCAGTACATCAATTGCTTTCATTTGTATTTTGAGTAAAAAATAATATTGTTAATTAGGTTTGCCTGTGTTTTTTATAAAGTTTATATCTCCAATACCTGACATTACATATTATGGCACACATGACCGAGCCCGACAAAGTGACATTTATGTCAGATCTGGCCCTCATAACAAATGAATTCCACACCTCTGATAAGCCAGTTTTCCATTAAAATATCTGAAATACAAGGTATTATAAAATATGAGTTATTTATCCTATTCTGTGAACACATCTTAGGAAGGAGTGTCAGAGGCCTTTAGGATTAATAGATGATGTTGTTTAGGACTAGGCTCTTTGCCTCTCTTGCTCCATTCACCATATTTAACTATGGTTTGACTACTGAATGAGCAGTTCTGGCTCCTGCTGAAAGAGCAGCAGTTATACTGGATGAACTAATGGCAAGAGTCATCATCCTTTCATTCGCCAAACCGCATCCAAAACTTTGTCACAAATATCGTACCCCACTTTGTCCCCAGCATGGACCCAAAGCAGCTTAAGCTGTTCTCTCTTCCAATTTATCCTAATGACAATCATGCTGAGAGTTAGATTAGGCTGAAAATGAGTGACTGGCCCAGGGTCAGGTTGCAGATTTCCTTGGTAGGGGTGGGAGTTGAATCCGGACCTCCAACACCCTGGCTCTGCCAGTTCCGAGAGGTTGCTGTCTAAAGGAAGGGGATATTTCCCATCCTCTTTGCGTTGCCTTTCTCCCCAGTGTGGGCTGATAGTGTCTTCCTTTATTCTGCTTAGAGATGTAAAATTTCCGGAAATTTTGAAGCTCGGAAAAAAAACCGTTTTTTTTCCGGGAAAAAACGGAAATTTTCAGAAAAATTGAAAAAAATGCTACATTAGCATTTCTTTTGTCTTTTCTAGATTGAAAGTCATTCTGTTACTTTAGGAACATAAAATATGACTATGGACATTTTTATTTGGCATGAAATTATCACAACTAGCATATTAAAAATATAGTGTATCCAAACAATTATTACAAACAGAATACCCACCCACATGCAAAAACAAAACTGAAACCTTTTTATTTTCTTCTGACAATAGCACCTCCTAAAGGAAGAAATGCATCTTGCATTGGAGAGTTCAGTTTGTAACCTAGGACTGGCTTATCCTCAGTGCACAGAAATTAGATCAATCTGATACCATATATATATATATTTTAGAAATGATTTGGAAAATATTTGGAAGCAGGAACAAGAAAGGAAAAAAAACTAAACCTAACAAAGAACTCCGAAACCAAACAAAGGTTAGTGGAAAGGAGGGCCAATATTAAAACCTTTTCATAAAAAGAGGTATATAAAACATATATAGGGGCCCAATTACAACCAATATATATAAAACTTTTTTAGCCCTGGTTATGGTTATGTTTTATATATATTGGTTGTAATTGGGCCCCTATATATGTTTTAATTTGTTATTATTAATAAATACATGTACCTCTTTTTATGAAAAGGTTTTAATATTGGCCCTTCTTTCCACTAACCTTTGTTTGGTTTTGGAAAATATTTGAACACCTTGTCTTAAAATATTTTATTCATCATGTTAAAATAAAACGTTCCATAATCATTTTTTCTTTTCTTTTCTTTTTTCAATTTTTCCAATTTTTCAAGAAAAAAACAAAAAATCTTCAGGGAAAAAACCCGTTTTCCCCCCGAATTTTCCCGGTTTTTTTCCGGGCCTTCACATCTCTAATTCTGCTCCTGTTTATAATCACATCAACCCTGTGAGGTGGCTTGAATTCAGAGTGTGCCTGATCCAAGGTAAGCCACGGATATGGCCAGTAATGTAGGGGAAGAGTTGCTGGTCTTGACCAGAAAGATCCTGGGGGATGTTTCTGCCGGCCAACACCCGAACTGGCCTAATTTCTCAGCTAAAGATGCCAACGAGAGTCTAGAGACCCAGAATAGAACAGCCTTGGAGAAGAAGAAGAAAGTGACACAATCACATGGCCTCTTGTAGATGAGAAATAATCTAATTTCAATGGATATCATTTGTTGAAGCCAGGAGGGAAAGCATCTATAAAATAGACTTGGTTATAATCAAAAGTCACTGGGATTATTTTTTTTTAAATGTATTTTAAGAAGATACTGAACTTTAGATAAATTTGTATGGTGTTTTAAGTTATAAAGTAATGAATTAGCCAAGAATGTGCATTGTTATCAAAAGGGGCAGCCAAAAAACCCAAAGAAGTCTTTGTTTAGGAGGTGATAGAACAAAGTTTGAGTTCAGTGGCAACTTTAAGACCAACAAAGTTTTATTCAAGGTATGAGCTTTCGTGTGCATGCACGCTTTCTCAGATACATTGAAATGGAAGTAAACAAGTTCATACATATATGCCGAGGGTGAAACAGCAAATTAGAATTGTTGTTCAGTCGCACAGTCGAGTCCGACTCTTCGCGACCCCATGGACCAGATCACGCCAGGCCTTCCGGTCTTCCGCCGTCCTCTGAAGTTTGTTCAACTTCATGTTAGTTGCATCTATGACACTGTCTAACCATCTCATCCTTTGCCGTCCCCGTCTTCTTAGCATACAACATCATGAAGTTGTTTTAACAGGTGCAAAATCTAAACAGTGATAGCAAGTTAAGTTCATATGGTCACAAATTGTTTGGATTTAATTATGGGGAAAGCACAGCAAGTGTGACAAAATAAGAGACTGACGGTGTAATCTCTCAAGCATGGAGGATACAAATGGAGCGTAACAATATGGTCTCAGTTAATCATTCTTGGTATTCCAAAATTAAGAAGGATACTTTTACACAATCAGTCCCTGCCTAGTGGAACTTTGCCAGAGGACATCCATGCCCTTACAGGATTTGCTATCTTTCTATAGGGCTGGCAAGGCAGAGGTGTTCCGCCAGGCATTGGGTTGAGAACAGCAACAGTTTGGCACTCTCATACTCCCAACTCCCCCCCCCCCATATTTCCCCTCCACCCAGGGGGCATTTGAATACTGAAATTATGATCTGACATCTTGGACAAAGCATTGGGTTTTTTGATGAATAGTTTTAATATATTTTAATGGTGTTTAAATTTTTCTTATTTACCTGTGATGTAAGCCACCCTGAGCCCAGTCTCAGGGAATGGAGGCCTAGCAGATGGAAATAAATAAATAAATAGCTCAAGCCAGTGAGCTCAGCCAGAAGCTTCTCTGTATCCTCAATGCAATGCTTAGGGGAGATGCCTGGGAAATGTATTCCATGGCTCCAGCCAGTGAGCCCAGGCAGAAGCTCCTCTGTATCCCCAATGTAATGCTTAGGGCAGCAGATCCCAGGAAATCTCCAGCCACCACCTGGGGGTTGGCAACCACGGCTGATGAAAAAGGAAATGCTTTTAGCCCACCCAGAAGTTTCTCCACCTCCCCAGCTTGATCCCTAGGGAACAGGAGATGGTATTTCCCCACATCTATCTGTACAGGGGTTGCTCCGCATTCAAGGACGCTCGCTTTCTTCCTCCCCTTCTAATCTGAAACGACAGCTGGCTTCCTAGAGGGCAGAAGGAACCCAAACTGGGATAGAAAGGGGTGGGGTGGGGGTCGAATCCTCTCTTTGCCCAAGACTGGAGTGAAACCGGAGTGGCGCCAGCTGGGTTAGCAGCATGTGCACACTCCGGCCGGGCCAAGCCAATACAGGGAGCAGTGGCCAAGCCAGGAGCGCAGCCTTTGGGCTTCCTGCAGACAGGCTCTTCAAGGGTTAAAGGGACGGCGTCTCTGGTCCTAGAGAAGCATCCACCGCAAAAGGGCCGCGTGACTTCCTGCAGTGTCCCACCTGGGTGATGAGTGGCTGAGCCCTTCTTAAAAGGAAGGGAGGGGCAACCCTGGAGGATTGTTTGAAAAGGAGGTAAGCGATAAAGGATGCTTTCCGATTGCAAAATCATCTCCCTGCTTTGGACGGTGGGAGAGTCCAAGGGAGTGGTAGGGTTGCCAACCTCCAGGTGGAGCCTGGGGGGGGGTGTCTCCCGGTTTTACAACTGATCCCCAGCTGTTAGAGATCAACTCCACTGGAGAAAATGGCTGCTTTGAAGGGTGGACTCTACGGCATTGTGCCACGCTGAGGCCCCTCCCCTCCCCTCCCTGAACCCCACCCTCTCCTGGATCCACCCCCAAAGTCTCCAGGCATTTTCCAACCCAGACCTGGCAACCCTAGTGAGTGGCCCCGTTGGGGTGGTTCTCAAGAGTCCTGCCGCATTGACCAACCAGGCTCTCTAGTAGTACTTGGTTTACATTGTTAACCAGAGGATTCCATTGTTTAGAATAGCTTTTCT